CGCATATGGTCGATTCCGGACATCGGGTGGACCCCAAAGAAGCTTTCCGAGTAATCTACAGGGTCTCACCAAATTATATGAGGTCCCTGGGTCAGCGCCTGCTTACAACAGCAGAAGCGACCGCTATCAGCTGGGTGAAGCCGTTGTTGTTTGCACAAGAGAACTTCCTACAAGCTCCGCATCTGGCGTGGCCCACAGTCACTTAGCGGCATGCACTCGTCCGCGCTCTGTTTGTCTCACTTGTACGAAAAGACGAACACGTTTTAACTTGTACTCCGTTCACATATAAATGTCCTGGCCCGACGAAAATTTATCGTTGTAAGTATACCTACGCTCACTAAACTTGTCTTCTGAATACTCTGATGGGAATTTTTGCAACTCTAAAGTGAAACTAATAAAACCAAAATTAACCACAGGAATAGCGGTATTCAAGATGGGCGACCAACTTAACTTTTACCGTTGGTTTCATTTCTATGGCAATCCTTCTAGCTGGTGAACACACACTGGTGAAGTCGGTTATCCGCCCCACTTTCGGTCCCTTGTTGGCGTTCACGCAGAAACGTGCGGTTTGTATCGGCTGTCGGTCAGTGCTGCCTAAGGACCGTGAAGGTATGTCATTCCACCTGCATCATGCTTCAAAATCCAGTCATTTGTCGAGTTTACTAATTATTTTTTCCTTGCTGTGTGACCCCTTTTAGACGGAGCCCTGTGCGCTCACTGTGAACCTCGGACGTCTGAAATTTACCAGAAGGAAGTCGCTGAGTTGAACTCTTTGGAAGCGCGGTTTGCACGTCTATGGACGGAATGTCAGCGCTGTCAGGGCAGTCTGCATGAGCAAGTTATCTGCACGAAGTGAGTTTGAGCTTTTCACCCGCAGCTTACTGCCCCCGATGTTGGGGAATTGCCCTACAACGCATAAACTGGACACACCAATAAATTTGTTCCTCGTACTGCAGGCTGGGATTGTGTTTGCGCAAAGTTCCAAACGGGGCGGGAGGGAGGGTGGTACCTATATTCGTGTTCCAACGTCAACCCCAGTATTAACTCTGGCCCCCAAAAATACCCCGTTTACCACTGACACTAAATCAAACCCCAGCTGTGCCCCCATCCCACCAGGAATTTGTCGCAAGGTCACTTATGTCCGTTCTCTATCGTCGAGTGAAAACGTTGTTTGTCTAGTGACGAGATAGCGGCTGTTTCGAGCTCTGAGGCCCCTGATTTAGTCCCAAGTATTTGGGTTTAGTCATGGGATCTCACAGTTTTTTTTTTCATGGACTCAGACTGCTGCCACCTCCCACATTGATGCGGTGGTTTCTACTATACATCCTCTTTTTTCCTCTGGAGATGCTGGCACTTTTTTGTGACTGTTAGATCAAAGTAATGAAGAAGTAACTTGTTCGATTAGCTGGAGCCATGTCTTTATATACCTGAGCTTTCAACCTCTTTCTGGAGTCAGAGATAAATGTGGCAACAGAAGGACTGTCTTTAGAGGTCCTATTTACCTTTGACTTATAGCAATAACCTACTTTTAAATTTTCAGTAACCCGGCTTTTCCTTTTTTCGTTAATTTCTGCCAATATAGGGTCGAATTTCCTTCGATATGTGTCAATTGCCTGGCCAGCAGGAGTTTATGTTGATGGAGTTGATTCAATTAAGCTCATTGAAGCAACTATGAGTGGCTTTAGTTGAATAGTCTTTAATCACTTTTAACACAATCAAATATTCATTTACACTCCTTAACCAAGCATTAAATATTTAGGCGACCCTGCGAGGTAGATTCGCTGTGGCAGCAAGGCAAGCAAGTATTAATGGGGAGGGGGGTAGGGATAAATCAAACATCAGTTACGCCAGCCCTGAGATGACCAAGCAGGGTTCTGTTTACCTGCGCCTGATCGATATATCGATTGATTGAGTTCCCGTCGGAGGTCCAGGTGACAATCAATTCTCGGCTTGCTTTGTTTCTCGCGTGAGCTGTTAAATCCTAGTGACTGCGAATATGACGTTGTGGCCCCTTTCGTAGTTGTCACTTTGGCCTCCGACGATGGACTCTATCAAGGGTTCGAAAGCTCAGATAAACTAAAGACATGATTATTGCAAGTAAACAGTCTTGTTATTCCTTACTGCTACATCTGGTATGCGGACATTTTTCTCAACTGTTAAATCGGCTAGTGCCTATACTAACATTCATTCTGCTTTTTGGTTGCAGCAGCGATTGTCCCATCTTCTACATGCGTACCAAGGTGCAGACCGATCTCGATGACCAGGTAGCCACCATGAAGCGTTTTGGACAACCGACCTGGTGATGCGCTCTCACGAAATACGGGAAACTCCGCCTATACTCCCGTCAGGAAATTCTTTTCTCATATAATTTGACTTTTCTACTTTTTTATGTGATATGAAATGCTTTTTACTTCCCCATATTTTGCAATAGAACAATTGCTGTGATTTCCGAAACCGTAAATCTGCTTTCACACAAAACCTACTTAGCACAATAATAAAACTTGACGCCAGACTGCGATGTCGGTTTTTTTCCAGCCTGGGATAAATAGATGCCGCCGTTGCTATACACGTCTTTCAGGCACGTCGAGGAGAGTGAGGGCAGGCTTAGTGACATGTTTTTAGTTGCTATTCGGTGAATGGGGATACATAGGCGGGCGCTGGGTCATTACTTCGGAGCACAGTTGGAGGTGAAGGTTTCCCTGATCTTAGCATGTGTTCTGTGGCGTTCCTGGTATAAGGCGGGACAGGAGATGTTTTCGGCTGTATTTCTAGTCTGACCAGGTGTGTGTATGCGTTTCGTCTTTCTTGACTCGTCTGACTCTGTACCCAGCAGTGACGCGTACCTCTCATCCCAAGGATAAGAACTATCAAGGTAGTATGGTACTGTTAAAAAATAGTAAAGGATACACAAAGTACAAACCCCAACAACTGATACACACAGTCAAGAAGGAAGAGAGTCGGCCAAATTGCCTGACTCGAGATAAGAGAACAACGCAAATTCGACCGCCACGCAGAGTGAAACCAGTCTTGGGCGAGAGTGTTTGTGTATTTGTGGGGGAGGTGACGACCACTGCTTTTATGTGACTTCGGGAGGCAGTTCATTTGGCTTACCATTAGTCTGAACCACCGGCGCGAAAGGGGAGCGGACGTGTACAGAAGCAATGCTGCGCCGGCAAGGGCGGGGGTTGCTGTTCGAGTGTTTTTCGGAGTAGCCTCGGCTAACTGGGTCATGAGGGAGGAGGGAACGGAGAGCTGGCTGTCCATCACAAAGGCACTTCGTGGGTCTTCATCTCCGGGAGTCGAAACAACTATCTCGTGAAGCAGAGGTATTCAGGTCAATTAAGCTCAACCACTGCTGCCTCTAGTCTGCTTTCCTGTGGAGGTCCGATAAAGGGGCCGGTGACGTTATCGCAGGGGGTTAAGTGAGTTAAACCCGGCAACTGCGATCTTCAGACCATGGTTACTTAATGCAGCCGAGAAGTCGATAAAAACCAGAGTAGTGGGAAGGGTTTATTGTGTACACAAAGGAACGAAGAGTAGATGAGAGAAGTCTGACTTGGGAGAACACGTCCGCTCAGTAGGTTCACCGGGTCCAAAGTGAGGTCTTAGCAGCAATCAGGCCAGAAGACAGAGAAGGCGCTTTCACCGGCTAGGTCGGCCTGTGATTGGTTGGACAGTGTGTGGGTGGATAGCGTATGGTTCGACACCGTTGTTGGACA